GATAAATTGGGACCAGCTGATGTTTGCCATGCCGAGATCATCAACTTCCAGGTTGGGGAAGCTGATATCCACTAGGATTTTACTCAGGCTGTCGTTCATGGTATCTAGGACGAGGCCTTCGGTGAGAGAGCGGTTGGCGGCGCCCTCTTGCAGCAGCTCTCTGGAGCAGGTCGGAGTGGAGCGTCTCGGAGAGGGTCTGGAGCAGGTGAGCAGCTCTCGAGGAGAGCTGAAGAGCGGCAGCTCTTTGAAAGGCGTGCTGTTGAAGCTGAAAGGCGTGTGTTCGTGCCGTTGCGGGGTGAGCTGTGGCCCGCTGGGCGTACGGATAGGGCTGAAGTCCAGCATGCCTCCCTTCCTGACGGGAGTGATCCTCCAGGGCTCCAGAACTGCGGGAAGCTTACTGGGTGTGGACGAGGAAGGGTGGCTGCTCTTGATGGGCGTTTTAAAAGTGTATTCTCTGTTTGGGCTGTCGGGGTCGGGTTTACAGGAGGGCTGGGGCTCCGGATCGTGAGTGTCTTGGAAGGTGGAGACGTCGGAGACCACGCCCGAGTCGAAGAGAGTGCTGTCGGGGTAGAGCAGGACGGGTTCCTCGGTGGCTGGCAGGACTAGACGCTGCTTGCGGCGGGAGCTGCTGTTTTCTTGCTGTCTGGTTTTGGAGGGCAGAGCTTCGGGAGTCACAGACACGCTCACAGGCTCCTCCTTAATGTCCTGAGAGGTGGACGCACACAGCATCACCGAGCTCACGTCGCTCTGTGAGACCTTTCACAACACACACAAGCGTTAAAACAACCAGAACTTTACTTACTTTTTTTTAATAGCAGGATGAAATATGACCTGTTTTATAGAAATAAACAGGCTTTATATTAGGAGCTATCCAAACCCTTGTTGACTGCTCTTAAAATGGTTTACAAGCCCAAAGCCAGCTGATCAACTATCTAGATCAGCTTGGATCAGTACAGGTAAATGACCATTAAAATCTGATTAAGGCTAGATTTTCAGTAGTATTTCCCCACGTGAAATGAATGAGTGAATA